GTTAACATGGAAACAAGTAGAAAATAAATTTTGCTCCATTTATAAAGAAAACAATAAATTCTGAAAGGAACACAATTTTATAGTAATGGAAAAAGGGAATATTCAACCAACAAATGCAACTAAAATCATAAAAATGGATGCTAAGACAAAAGAGTTAAAAAATTTAACAACACAAGTAAGCAAAAACCTTTACATGGCCAATATACAGCCAGAAATAATGATGGTGTAGTAAATAATCACAGAACCCATCAGTGGCTGAAAAGCAGGGCTTAAAGCAGAGATGGGGCATTTATAATGACTTATCCAACCAAAGCTTTCCAAATTTGCCATGTAAATTACATATGACACACTGGAATTGTCTTGTGTGAATGTTTGGTTTAGATTATTTTTCAGTTAAGTTCATAAAATCTGCAACAAACTCGGTCCAAAATCGGCTTTTGCCATTTAGCCAATAGTTTCTTCATATGATTCCATCCTAAATTGGCATTCAAACAACCTTTTTTCATGCAAAGATTATTTGAAAAAAATTACATGATTATTTAAGTTTGGTTTGTTAAAAGGGAAAATCTTCCCAAAAGAACCTCTTTTTGCCATTAACCCCAGCTTTACAGTAAAAGATTATTGAAGCATGTTCCTGAAGAAGGAGGAGGGGGGGGCATTCATGCATTTGCACTTGCAGTTGAATCAAATTCTGATGCTTCATCCCTGTTTTTGTTTGATAATTAGATTTGTGAATAATGCCATACTATTTGAAAGTTATTACAGCCATAGGAAATTTACTGAATATCTAAAACATTGAAACAATTTAACCCCAAGCAACGAGTACACAAGAAGGTTTTATCAATGGAATTCCTTTATTAAAAACAATCAAACACTTGCAAAGGACATACTGTAAAAAAATGAAGGATGGAGTAGCTTAGCATACCAACAGATGATGCATGCAAATGAAAGGACACAGGCAAACATTTCTAGACAGGGGGTTGCAGGTATACATTGGTGGATGCAGTTATACAATTGCAGACATGTAAACCCAGGTAATGCTACCTTATATATTTATATATATATATAAATAATATATATACATTTTTTTTTTTTAAATAAAATATTTTAAATTTACTTAATAAAAATTTAATTGTTTGGAATGAAAAAATTTCCTCAAAAAAAAATGATTTACAAGGGAAATTAGAAAACAATTCAGTAGCTAATTTGATTGGGGTTAAAAAAATGTTTTGAAAACTAAGATTCCAAAATTTAAAAAAAAACATTTTTGATGTCTTATTAACCAATCAAAAGATGTGTAGAAATTGAAAAATGAAAATAAGGTTAGAATTGAACAAACAGTTTTATAATTATTTCCTAGCTAAATTGAGGATTGTTGTATTAATTAACTCAGAAAGAAAACATCCGGTTACAAATATAAATTTAAAATAATTTAAAATAATAATAATAATAAATTAATAAATTTATTTAATAAATTTCATTTATTTAAAAAAAAAATTTAATTTATTTTTATCTAAAGGGACCTCTTTCAGTCTAAAACATTTATACATATATTTTTATAATATAATATGATACTTATTTTCATATATGGGCAATAAAACAAAATTTAGATAAGTTTTCCTATCAAAGAATTAAGAATTGAAATATTTTTCTGGACATTATTTCTAAAATAATGGATTTATAATTTTTAATTTTGTACATCCATTTTATTTTATTTTTCTTTTCTGAAACTCATCTTTTAACTTTTTTTTAAAAATAAACATAAATGCACAAATTACTGTTAATCACACATCTAATTTAGATATCTCATTATTTTAGGAAACTCTCTAATATTTTTTCTTTTTTTTTTGATAGGGACATGAAAGACTTCCATTTAATTTTTCATCATTAAGTCAAAGTTCAATTTTATTTTTTTTCCTTTTTAAATTTTTATTTACAAATAATGTTTAATATTTATTTTTGTTGTTATTAATTTTTATACTGATAAAACCTTCCCAATGTTTAAATTTTTTTTTGCCCTATCCCAAAAAAACCTTGTTAACAGTTATTTTTTTTCATTAATGAGGAATTGGTAGCAACGATTCTATTTTCTACCTTTTTAATGGACAATATATTTCATATATGATTTTGGATTAAAATAATTTAAATTTTATTAATTCTTGGATTTCATGCTTTAGTTTATTTAAAAAAAGAGTTTTTGTTTTCCTTAATAGGCTTTCAAATAATTAAATAAACTTTTGAAATATTAAACAATTTTTTAAAAAATTATAAAAATTTAATTTCCAAATTTTTTTTAAATAATCATTAAATCACATTAAACTAAGTCCTCCAATATGACTATTCATTTTTTTCCTCCTTTCATCATTTACAAATTAAAATTTCTTTCGTTTTCTCAATTTTTTTCATTTATTTTTATTTATTTATATTTTTAAAATTATTTCTTTTTTAAATCCATCCTTCATATAATTCTAAATTAACCATCTTAATCTTGTAAATAGCCATGAAGAACATTATATTTCTATCATAATTTTTTTCAAACCTATAAACATTTATGGATTTTCCACAAAATTCTGGTCTTAAAAAAAATTCATTGACGGAAACTAAATTTTTTTTCCTTTTGCAATAAATCATTTTTAACATATGAAAATAAAAATTGTAAAATTAGACTCAATATGTTTTAAATTTAAATAACACTTTTTCCATATTATGTAAAATTCAAAATATGGTAAAAAATTAAAACCATATTACTAATAAAATGTTTTATATGTTTTAAAAATTTGTTTGTTTACTGAAAAAATCTAAAATCATTCAGTATCTGAATAGAAAATTTTTTTTACATTTTATAGATTTATATTTTAAATAAAACTAATTTTATAAAAAATATCATTTTCCAGATATTTTGTATAAATTTATATAAATAACGTTTCTATTTTGTGTTTTGTGCACATTTTACAAAAGATATGAATATTTTCTATATATATATTCTGATGATTCTTTCCAAAACAAAAATATATTGTTTTGCATTTTTATATAAATGTGTATAAAGTGTAAATATTTTTGTCATAAATGAAATAAAATATATATAAATTTGCAGCATTATAAACATTTTAATCATATTAAATGAAAATGTTTTTTTAAAAAATAAACAGAATACCCAATGTGGTTTATTTATTTTTATTATATTTTATATAAAATTAAATGAATAAACAGTCTATAGTTTAACACTGAGTAAATTTTAAAAAAATGATTCCATTTATTTATGATATGAATATATACACACACACCATAACGAACCCAACTTGCCTTAAATGTTAATGTTCGTAATTTATAAATGTACAATTGGTTTTTCATGTACAAATGGATTATCATGAAAATAAATATTTTTTCTTAAATGCAAAATTCGGCGACCAGTATGAAAATTAAATTGAACAAACAAAATGGACAATTAAACAGCTGTGTCAGATTGTGTGTGTCTGTGTGTTTGTGTCTGTGGAACTGTAAACTGTATGGTGATTAGTTCCAGTGCATTTTGTATGATTTAGTAATATATTTTATCTATTGGATTTTATATATATATTTCTAGAACAAATGGATCAAACATGCAAAACAAAATTTCCCCATGATTCAATGATCTCAAAGAGATTTGTTGGTGGAAAATTATCTGATTTTTTTTTTTTAATTTCTAAGAGATCTCATTTTCATATCTATCATTTTATCTATTGTATCATCTATTTATGTTTCTTTCTATTTATCTATCTTTTTTCCTGTAGATTGCATTTCAAACCATTCATTTCCCAAAATGCCCTATGTTTGTTAATATCAGATTCTTTATCTTTGTTCATTCTATTTTATTTTATAATGCAATATCTTTTCATTTTATCTAAGATAAATTCCTTCAAGACAGAGATATTGAGACAAATCTTAACTATCCATTTATTGATATTTGCTGATCTTTCAATTTAATAATTAATAATTTATGTCTATCTATCTATCCATCTAATTCTATCTGTTTTTTCTTTCTTTGTTTTTTATTTTCTTTGAATTATTTATTAAAAATCTATTTAAAAAAATCCCATCCTTGTCAAATTCTATTTATCTAAGTTCGTTTATGATTTATCCATTATCAATCATCAGAGTCCAACCAATCCTATTTGCTATTCTGGGCTAGATGATTTTGCATTCTGGGGCAATATGCATGTTTAGGGGACATATCCAATATAACATTTTTTTCAGAATCTTTTGCTAAGCCTTTAGTTTATTTACTATTTTAACAGGATTATTTTGCTTCAAATTTTTTTTGATCTCTTTAGTCTTTACCCATCTAGTGATATTTTTAATGTTAAATTTCTGTTATTTTATATGATGATTATACATTTATTGATTTTTACCTTCAAATAATTTGTTAATATTTACATACATGTGTATATATGACATTCTCTTTAATGCTTTAAATATTATGGGCACCAGAATGTCCAGAATTTTGTGAGTTTGGCATGATTTATTTTTGAAGCTTTTGAACCATAATCATATTTGTCTAAGTTACCATTATCTACCTATCTATCAATTCTGTTTATTATCTATGTTTGTATATATTTTTTATAAATGTAAAATCTTGAATGTTTTATCATTTATTCAATTTATAAAATATCTACAAATCTCATTCATATTGAGGTTATCTAAATCTATTTAATATATATATTAAAATGTGATGCTTATTATCTGTCACTCTGTTCATTATTGTCTATATATTTCTTTCCCTTATTTATGTATCTATCAATTCTAAGCTCATTAATTATCCATCTTTTCATTTTAAATCTGTAAGTTTCTTTCTATCTATCTATCTTGTAAAAAATCATATCTGGTAAAAACTAGTCTATTAAATTCTAATTGTCAAACTTATTAATATCCTCAAATTCATAAATATCATATCTATTTACATTGTTCATTATGAATCCTCATTTTTATCAATCTATATTTATAAGACTATTCATTATCTATTTATGCCATCTCAGTCTTTCTTCATACTACATATCCATATATATTTTCATTATCTTCTCAGTCTGATAATTATCAATCTAACAGTTATTTTTAAAATCTCAAATTTTTATTCATATCTATTTTTCATGAGCCAATTCCCAACTTTTTTTCTTCATTCATCTACTGAACCAATTTTTTTATTATAGCCATTATCCAACATATTTATATGTAAATATATATATATATATATATATAAATATATATATATATAAAAATGGCGTTTTAATTTAAACGAGAATTTATTTATGGGATTTTGGCTCAATTTTAAATCATAGGATTGTTTTGGTAAATATTTTATATAAAATTTTACATTGAAGTAAGCATCACATTTATGATAAATAAATTTCATAATAATATTTTCTTCTTTCAGGCCATGAATTCACAGCCTTACAATTGAACCTAGAAATATACAGATATTTATACCTCTTGAATGTTGCATTCAATATTTTTAAATATATATATATATATATATATATATATATATATATATATATATATATATATATATATATATATATATATATATTTATATTAATGCATGTTTCATTAAATAATATAGACAAGTTTTGTCTATTTATTTTAAGTAAGTTCCTTTCATATTGTCTGATAAGCTTAATAGCATTATCATTGAAAGACAAAATAAATATTCTTAAATGCCTATAATTGATAACAGAAGCCACTGGTTTATACCAACAGCTTCCCATACTTAATACATCTCATTTTCACTCTTGCATGTTCATGTGTGACATCACAAGCTGTGACGCGATTTTCACTTCCATGTCTTGTATACACGAGTTAGTCATTGCTTTGAAATATTTCATGCAACAAAAACAGACTATCATTATTGTTTCGTCCGTGTATTGGTTGATATATTGAAAAGTAATTGTCATCTTTGATAATGGCTTATGTAAGCCGAAAGCTTAGATTGGATTCAAACATGTATCAATATTGGTGATTTCCTTTCGTCTTTCAATGATAATGTTATTAAGCTTATCAGACAATATGAAAGGAACTTACTTAAAATAAATAGACAAAACTTGTCTATATTATTTAATGAAACATGCCTTAATGAAAAATTGCTGCCTAAATATACACAATATATATATATATATATATATATATATATATATATATTAGTCTATTCATATTTATCCCAGTTCATGTCTCTCTATCATTCTCAGTTCATATTTACCTAGCTATCTATCTCATTTCCTATCTATCTCAGTCTATCAATATATATCTAAGTCTGTTCATCTACCAATCTCAATTCATATATATCTATCTTAACTATTTCAGACTGTTTGACCTATCTATCAATCTATCCCAGCCTGCTCATTTCTATCTATCTATCAGTTTATTATCTATCTATTGATCTACCTAGAAATCTATCTATGTCTGTTCATTATCTACCTATCTCAGTGCATTCATTATAAATCTATCTCAGTCTGTTCATTATCTGTCTATCTCAGTCTGTTCATTATCTATCTCAGTCTTTTCATCTATCTCAGTCTGCTTATCTAAGTCTGTTCATTATCTCTCACTGTTACTTATCAATCTATCTCTGTTCATTATCTATTTATCCATGTCATTCTCTTCAATAACTATCTAAGTCTGTTCATTATCTATCTGTTCATCTACCTATTTATATATATCTGTCTGGTCATTATCAATTTACCTATCCTACTGTCAATATCTCTATTTTATCTATCCATCTAAGTTTGCTCATTATCTATCTATCTATTTTGTCTGTTCATTACCTATCTACCTATGTCTGTTTATTATCTATTTATCTCAGTCTGATCATTATCAATCTATCTACCTTTATCTGCTCATATTTAAGTCAGTTCATATATATCTATTTACCAATCTCAGTTCATATCGATCTATCTAAATCTCTTCAATATCTATTTGTTAATTATCTATCTATTTATTTCAATCTGTTCATTATCTACCTCTGTGTCTATCTGTTCCTTATCTATCTATCTGAGTCAATGAATTAATCATTCCTCAGTCTGTTTATTATCTATTTATCTCACTCTATTCATATCTAAGTCATATCTACCTATCTATCAATCTCAGTTCATATCTATCTTATCTATCTTAGTCTGTTCATTCTCTATGTATTTATCCAAGTCTGTTCATTATCTATCTCAGTCTGTTTCTGTTCATATTATATCTATTATCTATCTCTGTTCATTATCTATCCCAGTCAGTTTATTATCTATCTATATATATATATATATATATCTGTCTGTTTATAATCTGTCTGTTCGTTATCTAAGTCTGTTCTTATCTACCTATTTATGTCTGTTTATTATTTATCTATCTATATCTAGTCATTATTTATCTAAGTCTGTTCATTATCTATTTATCTTAGTGTATTTATCATCTATCTCAGTTTGTTCATTATTTATCTATCTAATTAAGTTTGTTTATTATCTATTTATGTCTGTTTATTATTTATCTCAGTATATCTACCTCAGTCTGCTTAACAATCTATCTATGTCTGCTTATCTCTCTCATTCTGTTTATTATCTTTCTCAGTTTGTTTATTATCTGTCTACCTCAGTCTGTTCAGTATCTATTTATGTTTATCTATGTCTGTTCATTATTTATCTAAGTCTATTTATTATCTATCTATGTTCATTACCTGTTCAGTCTATTATTTATCTGATTAAGTCCATTCATTATCTATCTATCTGATTAAATCCATTCATTATGATATAAGTCTATTCATCTGTCTATCTATCTATCTATCTATCTATCTATCTATCTATCTATCTATTCCAGTCTATTCAATGTTCATTATCTATTGCAGTTTGTTCCTATGTATGTATCCTTGTATGTACGTATCCATCTACGTATGTATTTCTGTCTGTATAGTAGTATCCATCTATGTATCTATCTAATTTATCTATGTGTAGCTATCTATATTTGTTCATGTCTTCTTGTGTATGAGTGGTTGATCATATGTAATGAATAGTACATGTGATCTATCGATACTTATTGATACTAAGTCTCTTTCTTCTGATTCTGTTTTAGGCCCGACGATGAATCACCATGCATAAATTTAAGCAGAAAAGCTGCTAACCAACGACTCTGCCGCAGACAGCAGAGGGAAATGACAAAAACTCGTATAAATTTATTAATGTGTTACTTTTATTTAGTGATGAACGAAGATAATTTCTTTGATTAAAGAAATGTAAAGAAATAAAATAATTAATAAAATGTTACATTGAAAAATAGATTAAGATTTTTTTTTAAATTTCAGCTTTTTAAATTTTAGTAAAAGTAGAGAGAGAACCACTTGATTCCTTCCTTTAGTTTCCATTGTCATCAATTTTTATTTATTGAATAGGACTTTTCAGGGGGTCACCGTAGATAACATGACATCATCATCATCATTATCATTATCTTTACTACCAAATATTTTATAATCTTTTATTATTTCAAAATATTGTATTGCTGACTACTACGAATTACAACAATGACTTTCTCGCAGTAGACATTATTGCAGCTGGGTTTTCTTTTTTCGAGCAATAAGTCTCGAGTCTCTTGAAGCTCATTAGCATATTTCAGCGTAAGGATTTTTCAAAAGTTGTTCGGCTCAACGCGATGTCTGAGATAAAGATTTATAAAAAAGACTAAAAGAGTATTGAAGGAGAGGGAAAGCGAGAGTAAGTCAAACTAAAGAAAGATTAAAATGAATAAAGGAGGAGGAGGATAAGGCTCAAAGATGGAGGAGAAGATAGTTTACGGAGAGAAAGAAAATAGAATTAGAAAGAAAAGCATTTAAAATGATTGAAACACAAAAGAAAAAATGCGACCCGAACAATTTAAAGTTTAAAACCACAATAAAAACGGAGATGTATGTATTTTGGAAAAGAGAAGACAAAGAGTAGCGTGTCTATAGCAAGAAAAATAAGAGATTATGAGTTTATATAAAGAGCAGGAGGAGAAGGAAAGAGAAAGAATAAGATAGACTAGATGAGGGAGGGTATCTAGTAGCAGCAGCCCGAGGAAGAAGAAAAAGATTTACTTACTTTGTGATAGCGAGAGAAGAAAGTGGTGATGAGTTGTAGGAGTAAGAGTTGTGATGACTAAGAGAGTAGGAGAAAAAGGGTAGGAATTAATGGAAAATGTGATACATAGAAGGATGAGGGGCATCAGTAGTAGGGTGGAGGTGGAGCGAGGGTAATCATAAATAGTGAGTAGGAATAAATTGCGAAGAAGTTTGAGAGCTTATAGTAGACTAGAAAAGACGTCTTAGATGGTGCTATTTTTGTCCCTCCGGTGTGGTTGTGTCCAGATTCATCTCCTGCCTTTTTTTCCCAATCAACAGAGAAAGAGCCTCTGCCCTTTTCTGCTAGACACTGATTTGTCACTTACAGCCCGGTAAGAAGAATATAAATATTTGCATTTCAGTCATGTATTTTTTCCTCTATCATTTTGCTTTGTCTTAAAAGAAATCCGGGAAAAGCCTTATCATTTCTTGTTTCAAATGATCGTCTGCTTTTTTCTGTGACCTGCAGTAATGTCTTTCTTACCTTCGTTTTTATTTATTAGTTTTTTTTTTTAATTTGTTTTATAAATAAGAATTATGAATTTGAATATAATAAACGTAATTTTTCCACCATTAACAAATTCATTTTCTTAATTTAGGTATTCTTTCTTTAGTCTACTCTAGTTCTTTGGTTTTACTTTTAAATCTTTTGTGATTGACATTTTTCGGCTTTTCCTACAAAATTTTGGATTGATTCTTCTTAACAAAGTCAAAAAATTCCATTCTTTATTATCTTACCATTTTTCTTCCTAAATAATCGAAATGTATGAAATATAACAATTTTGGAAAAAGAAATGATTTAATTTGAGAAAATTTTCTGTTTAGTTTAAGTAATCTCAACATTTTTATTTTTTGTTTATGCTTTCTTTCATCTGTCATTTTTTAAGACAGTTATTTCATTAAAGAACTTATAAAAAAAAAATTCTTTTTGTTTTAATTTATTTTAGTGATATAGTCGCTTCAAATTTTTATTTTATTCTTTATTTCTGTTCTTTGTATTTTTAAAATCATTTTTTCATTTTCTTTTCTTTTTTTTTGTTTCTTTATGCAATAAAGATATGAATTCAAATAATACTCGACTTGGAAATATTTCAGATATTGTCAGAATCACATTCTCACGAAAGCCATTCTCAGAGTAATAAAAAAATTAGTTTTTTTATTAAAAAGAAGAATATTCACTTTTTGAACTTTTAATTTAATGTCTTTTCATGCTCTTGATGGGGGTAGGGGTACCTGCAAAAATGAAAATGCCAAAGTGATTAAAAAATCATAAGTATAGAAAAAGCATTGAAGAAAATGCAGCGAAAGATTGCAGACAAAGAAGAACAATAAATTAGAGAGGGTAGGAGTGAATGATAGAACAGTGAGAGTGATAAAGAAACGCAAAATAGACTGTAAAAGAGAAAGTGATGCAGACGTAAAGAGAGAGAGAAATAGATGTGGAGGAAAGGTGATGGGTGTGACGTAGACGAACAGATGGAGGGGCAAAGGATGCAAAATAGGTAGAAAGAGTTTTTGGGGATGGTGGGGGGTCTAAAGGCGGAGAGTGCGATCAATCCTTGCAAACCCTTACTTCCACTCCCATTTAAGATCAAGGAATCGGTTCACCTCAGCTTTTGTTTGATATATATATATATCTTTTGTTTGATATATATATATATATATATATATATAACATTATGTACGTATATATATCTATGTGTATGTGTGTGTGCACAAATGTACGCTTGCGCACACGCGTACACAACTTCCCTCTTTTTTCTTTCCTTTTTTCTTCTAAATTTAAATTCCTCGTTCAAAAAAGAATTGAAGAGGTGGTCATTCTTTGCTGACCGCAACCCACAAAAAGAAAAGTGATGCATTTATTTTTTGTGCAGAAACTTTTTTTATATAATTTTTTTGAATTTTAACACTCAAATATTTAAAAAAGGGAAAAATAAAAAACAATTTAAAAATCTAATTTTTTTTAATGAATTAATTAGAAATTTTTATTCAAATCAATTTTGTAGGTTTTTTTCCTTTTCTCCCTTTTTTGGGCAATTCATCGATTATCGATCTACACACGAAATTGCTTCATAAAGAATTGTATTCTGTCCATGAAATTTTTGTGGGAATGAGATGTGGGGCGCATGTCACGAGGTACATAATCTTCCTTTTTGATGTGTAGTTGTAGATTTTTTGTCTTTTCAGCTTTTGAAGACATTTAAATCAAATTTCCTTTTTTAAAAATGAAGGGATAACTTTCGTAAGAAAAAAAATTAAAAGTCGGTAAAATTAGGATAAAATTTTTTTCTTAAGAAATTAGGAAATCACTAAAAAAGAAAATTCAGTTTTTGTTTCGTATTTAATTTGCAATTTCCTTTCATTTTTATCTGATTTTTCTTTTGCAAATCCCATTCGTTATTTTCAATTTCATTAAAAAAAATCACTTTTCAGAGAACTTGAAAAATGAAATTATTTTTTAATTAAGATCTGTAACATTTCTATTGAAAAAATTACTTGTCTTCAATCAATCATTCGATGCTGTTGTTCACATTTTTTAATTGACTAATTAACAAAAAAAATGAATACATTTTATTTCAATTTTACTCATTTACATTTTTCCGTCCAACCATTTTTGTTCCTTCAAAGGTAGTCAACTTTTGTTTTCTCTTTCTATTAAAATAATTATTTTCCAGCATTTTCTTCTTCCATCATTTCTTTGCACAGTTTTTCCTTCTTCCGCATAATCGCCATTCTTGGATTCATCTTCTCCAGTCTTTTGTTAGTGTAGCAGCCAGCCTCATGCTCTTATATCTTCACCCTCCCATCTCCCAACTGACTTCTTTCTCTACTTCTTCATCATTAGAGTAAGAAGAAGATTGTGGGAAGGGAGAGACAAAGCTACCGTTATCGTTGCTGCTGCTACAATGTAAAAAAATTAGAATAATTATTATCATTATTATTTTACTTGCTGAGATTTTGGGCTTTCTGATTATTATTTTTTAATTTCCTCTTGATTATTATTATTATATTTCTTTCCACTTTAGTTATGATAGATCTGAGAGACTGAAATAGATAAAAAAAACAGCTAGACAGGCTGAGAGATAAATTTATGAACAAACTGATGAATATAATAAAAATGAAAAAAGTAATGTACAAATTCCAACTAAAATTTTCAATTGGCAAAAAATTAAACAGGAACCAAAAATGTTAGCAAATGCCCCCTCCTAAAGATGCACTTTTGTTTTAATTTTTCTACAAAATGTTGTTTTTAGGCTACTTAATCTAAATTGTTTCATGAATGTAAAAAATCAATGTTAAAACTAAAATGAGAATTTTTAAGAATTTATGCATAAATCTTTTGAACCTAAAATTTACTTCTACTGATTAAAAAAAAGTAATTAAATTTATTGAGGTAACTTTTTCTTTTAACAAACTTTTTATTGTTTTTTTCTTTTTACTTTTTATTAGACCTAAGGGTAAGGCTATTATAATGATTAATCCTTTCTTCCCATTAAAAGGTTTTTCTTTTCTTTTTCTTTTGTATTGATCTTCTTTCAGATTCACTTTTTCATATTAATTCATGTTTTCAAACCATTAAGAAAATTAAGAATCACATTTTTTTAATTTTTTCCTCTTCCTGTCAAAGGCTTTCTTTGTGCTTTTATTGTACTTAATTAGATTCACTTTTTTGTGAATAATTTAAACCCCACATCATTAGTTCTGACTGACAGACATACTTTTTCAAGGCATACCGACCAACCTTCTCTTTTCTTTTTTACTTTATTATTATTATTATTAGTAGTAGTAGTACTTAAAAATTATTTTAGCTAGGTCATTTTTGAGTAACTCAAAAATATTTAATAAAATTTTAAATTAAAAATATATTTTTAGAAATTTACCTATTTTTTCTCTTTTTTTTCTTTATTTTCAATTTTTTCACTGTTAAAAAAGAACAAAAGAAATTAAAAGAACAGTTTTTGATATACAATTTAATTCTTAAAACAATAAAATATTTTCAATCCCAAATTACATACTTACCAGAATTCTTTTCTCTTATTAAACAAAAGATCATTAACCATTCATAATGCACTTATTTATAAAATTTAAAAACTTAGAGAAAAAGTGGAGTCCATTTAACTAGAATGGTATTTTAGTTTAAATTTTATTTGGATAGAAACAATTTCGCAAAAATTTTTGTTAGAATAAACACTTCTCTGTTCTTTTTTCATTTTAATGAAATCAATCATACAAATTTCATAATCATGAGAACAATTTAATTTAAAAGAAATTGCATAAACCTTGACTGATATTCAGTTTTTTATGTCCTTCTTTCTATAAAATCTACAAGTCCAACCAAATTTCTGGAACTTAAGAATAAAATCTTTGGAGATAATTAATTTTTGTGAATATTATATTCACAAAAATTAATTATCTCCAAAAATATAGAAATAAACCCCACCAATGAATTTCTACAAATCTTATACACAAATATGCCAAACAATGGTATTTTTAAATTTTAGCTTCATAGATGCTGATAGTTTTATCAATGTCACAGTAACAGAAATTTTTGAAAAAATATTGAAATATATATAATATAATTCTTCTATTCCCCTCTTCTAATATAAAACCTACATTAACTTCCAGCATAAATTACTGAAGTCCTACAACCGTTTAGGCAATTTATACACATAAATTGATGGTGTAGCTATATGGGCACTTGTAAGTTCAACATTCTCTGAATATTAAATGTCCCACATAGAAAATAAACTTTTTGAAAAATTTAAATAAATGAATAATATATGTTAGATATGTAGATATTTTTCTACAAGCTAAAAACTTTGATGAAAGTAAAAATCTTTTCAAAATAATTCTGTCTACCAATTTAGTTTCAAATTTATTAAAAATAGAATACCATTCTTAGATATTACAATTGATTCTAATATTAATAACTTAAAATATTTTATTTATATATATATATATATATATATATATATATATATATATATATATATATATATATATATATATATATATATATATATATATATATATATATATATATATATATATATATATATATATATATATATATATATATATATATATATATATATATATATATATATATATATATATATATATATATATATATATATACATATATATATATATATATATATATATTATATATATATATATGTATATATATATATATATATATATATATATATATATATATATATATATATTATATATATATATATATATATATATATATATATATATATATATATATATATATATATATATATATATATATATATATATATAGTATATATATATATATATATTATATATAGTATATATATATATATATATGTATATATATATATATATATATATATATATATATATATATATATATATATATATATATATATATATATATATATATATATATATATATATATATATATATATATATATATATATATATATATATATATATATATATATATATATATATATATATATATATATATATATATATATATATAGTATATATATAGTATATATATATAGTATATATATATATATATATATATATATATATATATATATATATATATATATATATATATATATATATATAGTATATATATATATATATATATATATATATATAATATATATATATATATATATATATATATATATATAGTATATATATATAGTAGATATAATATATATATATATATATATAGTATATATTTATTATATATAAAGAGAGAGAGAATATTTCATTGATGCTTCTTACCATTTTCTTTGTGAATATATTTGAACTTTGTGTGGACAAATTCTTAATTATTTTTGTTTCAGTGTTTCTAAAAAAATAAAATACATAATCACAGGTTTCTCAGTCACTTTTTATCTCTTTAATAAAAGGTGATTTTTGCTGTGTACATGAAGAATTTGGGAGTTTCAAATAAACCATAAAATTCTACTTAATAAAATTCATTTTGTTCACTTATTAAAAAATTCCTTAAAATAACTTTAAATATTATAATTCTTTAAATGTTATATCCCAACCATGTATAACATTCAATTTTGTGCTTCATTGTCTATTTCTAAAATATTTTTCAGAAATCTATTTTTAGTTTTTTACTAGATAATTTGAGTATCAACATAGTAATTGTATTTGAAAGACTGAAAAACTTATTTCTTATTATAATTAATAATATTAGAATGAAGAATGAGTAAAATAATTGGAAGTAAAAAATATGTTAACTGTTAATGTTTATATTAAAAAAAGATACTGAAGCAATCTAAAATAGAAGAAGCACATTTTGATGAGTTTTTTAACAATTGTTAAATTATAAAATTTGTCCTTTTAGAAGCAATTAAAATATTAAAACATTTTTTTTTGCATTTGAAGGACTGCCAATTTCACACTGAGAGAAATGTACATTCTCTCTCTTTCTTCCCCCTCCCCCGATGCCTCCTGATGTTGTCTGTACCAGTTTTCCAATCACTGCAAAATAGATTATAGAATTATGAACGTTTGGAAATTAATGTAATTTTAATTAGCAGAAGGAAATAACCTACTGCAAAGTTAATTTTTTTTATTCATTACTAATTTTCTTGCACAGAATTTGAAATTATTAAAATATTTTGAATTTTCATTATATAATAAGCAAACCATTGAAAAATATAAGACATTCATGGACTTAATATCAATGTGAAAAGTAAGAAATAGGCTTCAGACATGATTAAAATCTTATTGAGGTATGTCCTGTATTAGTTAATTGGAGTTTAAGAAATTCTGAAACATTTTTCATGTATATATGTAACAACACCTTACTATCTCCAGTGCCAGTTGACTGATTCTAGTTTCTGATTACCTTTCATGGCCATAAAACAGTAAGAAAATCTAGTTTTAAAAAAAAACTTTTACTTTTTAACAATACCAGTTTCAAAGTTTTGAAAATGCTTAGTGCAAAGATTTAACAATCTAATAAATTTTGATTAACTGATGAATTTTAATTCTAATAAAGAATTTAAATTGTTGAATTACAAGATACAAATGATAAACTCAGCTTTGTGCTTGTTGTATTTTACTACCTAGATTATTTCCTTTTACATTAACTTTTAGATTATCCTGATTAGTATGTGTCATTAATTTTGATATAAAGTTATTTTTATGTTTTACATATTTTTTGAATAATTTCTAGTTTGTAATGCACTGCAAAAACCCAAATTGAAACTTATAAGAAAATATCTCTGCCTCATTTTTCTATTGATATATAGAAAATTAATGTACATGCATAAAATTAATATGGATAGTATATTTGATGCAAATAAATCTAAATGTTTTATCATAGAATTGACATTGTAAAGCATCAATTTCTTTTGAAGAAAGTATAAATCATATATGTCATTTTACAAAATATCTCAAAATAATTCTGCACAAATAATAAAAATTAATAATATAAAAATTAAACTCTTTGCTTATAAGCATAAAAAGTATTTAACAAATATTTTATGTAACATAAAATAAAATTAAATGATTCATTTTATACCATTATAGTTTCCAAATCATCGATTTATATTTTTTATTGTATACAGTGTTCCAAAAGTTGTATTACCATTTTAAATTGTAAATTTTATCTTTATTTACCAAATGGAATCATGTTTCTGTATGTGAAAATATATTATTGAGAAATTTTATTGGTCAAATTATGGTAGATGATGTTATGCAAATTTTCCCTGGTTGCTACATCACAAGTGTATGTTTTCTGCCAATTGTTGCATGACTTTTGGAACACCTTGTACATATAAAGTAAATTGTAACACTCTTCAGTATAAACAGATTTATAGATAAAAAGTAGTTTTCTAAGAGAATAGCAAGAAATGTATATAAAAAAATAGACCCAATCCTATTTACTACTGGACAAAAACATAAGCTATCATTAGTTCCATTTGAGAAAGGAAGTAAAATGCTAATGGGTTACTTAGCCTGTTTATTTCTATAACAATTGTTGACTCAAATAACAAAAAAAGAATTTTTTTTTAATCCCAATAATTGCGTCAAATCAAGAGGCAGTTCCACAGCTGTTAATTTGTTTTTGGCCTTGAACTGGATAATTTAAAGAAACTTCTAAAAAATACAAGACATCTAAATTTAAACAATAAAAACAACTTCAAAATCCAGTTACTGCTCTTAAGATATAGCAAACTGGTACTCAAAAACTATATTCCTAAAAAAAAAAGATATTAAAAATTAAACTTTATATTTCAGGAAAAATTCTGAATTAAGCCAACTTTAACACAAAGGCAGATTCATGTAGCACCTTATGAGGATCAAACTCACTTTTTGCATCTAAAATTTTCATACTGGGCATCATCCTAAATTTGGTGCATATATTCAGAATTAGGGTTTTAGCTTTGTAGCTTACTATGATTTCTTGAAAGCAACCCAAAATCTACTAGTATAAAGTTAAGATTTTGTTGAATAATTTTTCTTTAAATAATAAAATATAGTTGTTTTAAGCATAGTTTTTGTATTTTTATCTTTGCTCCTTTATGATTTGACTTAGTTTTGAAAAATTAATTTCCTATAGTTTTTGATAAATTAATTTATCAAATTCCCTAAAGCTAAGATTTTAGTTTTGTAATAAAGTAAATGATTAAAAGAAAAAACTGGTTTCATATTTTTATTTTTGGCTTGCTTAGTGACTTAGATAGTTTGTGTTATTTCCCATTGACTACAGAGATTGATTTGATTTTGAATACTAATTTTCTAGTTATGTAGACACTCTCCCTTTAGAGAATTGACATAACACAATATTCCTAAAGTCCATCATCACTTAACATTAGAACTAAATTAAGTTTAATCAATATCGCTATCTTTATTTTTTTACATAAAACTTTTCTTTTTACTGAGTTCTCAATTTTAATTTTCTGTGTTTTTTAAATATATATATTTTTAGATGTTTATTGAGTACTGAAATACAAAATTATTTTTTAATTTTTTTTCACATATTTTTTTAATTTATATTATAGAATAATCAAAAATGTCTGACAAGAATGTTATAACAGAAGTCAAAACTTTTGACAAGACAAAGTTGAAGAAAACTGAAACTCAAGAAAAAAATACTTTGCCCACTAAAGAAAGTAAGTTTTTTGCCTGTTTTCTATTTATTTAATCCTTCAAGAATGAAATCTTATCAGTTATGGTATTTTATTTGAAAAAATAAATTGCTGGATAACTATTTTCTCTCATGTGAAGCAGTGAAGCATTAGTGGTAATATGTATTCAATAGAGACAATGAAATCCTTTCCAATTATTTCTACTTAATTTTAAGAAAATATAATAGCAAAGTATTAATGACAATATTCAGGTTTGTAATTCAATCTACCAGTTGTTAAGAATTCAAGTTGATTGTTTTGATATGTTTTAATTATATATTTGTTTAATCAAAAAAAACTGATACTAATATGAAAATACATGTAAAATGACTATAGACATGTTACATATATTGTACATAATTTATCTATAGATTATATACATTGCAAGGAATATAACAGATTAAGTCAATTAAAGTTAAATCCAATGTAGTCTGGTTGATGGTTTGGATAATTATATCTTTTTCTAATGATACCAAAACTCAGTATTCAAGTCAAAAAAAAAAGAAAGACTGATTTTATTTTTAAGACAAGCAGGCCCTTCCTTCTTAGAGGATTGACATACACAATTTTCTTAATTTGGCCTTGTCATTAACTATATTATGCTTAGTAAATAGTTATTTACAAAATGGAGCTTAGTTTTGGCACAAAGTTATAAATATATGTGGCACCTAGTTAGGATTGAACTTACTACTCTGTAGTAAAAATCTACAATACTACAAAATAAGTTTGATAATTACTGAGGAAGTAAATTCTAATGATTAGGTTCTTTGTAATGAAATGTCACAATAATTAGTACATAAGTTATGAAAATTATTTCTTGCTATTTCATTATTATTTAGTCAAATTATATAAAAAGAAATAATTTTTCATACAGCTCTTATTTAAGAAATCTAATTATTCTATTTGAGAATCATTGTTATATTATGTTTTTAAATAACTTATTAATTTTACTTTAATGTGAGAAACTAGTGTTAATATTACAATTAAAGAATTATTTTAGGTCAATAATAATGATGTTGATAATTTCAAGAAGGAAGCAAGTTTAACTAATGAAAACTAAACCTAAAACAAATTGAAATAAATGTTTAAATAAAATGATTTAAAGTCTTAAAAGTGATTTAAAATTTCTTCTCTTTCCAATAGATAACTCAGTTGCATGTTCCATTATATAATAAAAATGCCTCATTTTATTCAAAGCATTATACTTTAAATGAAAGTATAATTGATATATTATCTGTATTTTTGTTGTATATTATTTTTATTTTTAATATTTGCAAAATGTACACCTTGTGCTGAAGCAAAAATAGAATTCTATCAATTAATAGCAAGACTGAAATTTGAATGTTTTTGTGAGTTTTTTTTTAGAATTAAAATTGACTGATGTAAATTACAAGTAAGTAATATTGTAGCTACAGCCAAAATATCAAAAACTGTTACAAGTATAAGAATTATGCTAATTAACATGAATTATTATCTGTCATTTTAGAAAACTTGGAGATTTAGTAATTTTAATTTGGTTCTTCTAAGAATACAGGACTATAATTTATTTATGATGATATATAACTGTATATAACAAAAACAAATAATATGTATTAAAGGAAATACTTATGGATTTATGATTGAAAAATAATTCATAATCAGTCAACATTCTTTTTAAGGTTAATTTCTAAAATTATGCTTTTGATTATTTCAGCGATAAAACAAGAAAAGGAAGCTTGAGACTATTCTCATGGCAGTCCACCTGGTAGCACTCCCGACTCACCCCCTTCAATGTTCTACATTGATGGGTTTGTTCTATCACTGTGGCTACCGATGAATCGTGGCTAATACTTTCAAGTTAATACTATTTGTGCTAATTGGTGGTGCATAACGCTAACATCATGTATGCCATTAAAATTCATCGTTTAAATATTTAAACCTTTTTAATTAAAAGAAAAAAATACTTTTTTTTTCTCACTTTCTTTTTTTTCTTTCTTCTTTTTTTTTTCTTTTTTTTTTTTTTTTTACTTCCTGCTAACGTCATGTTAATGCAATAAAATACATTCCGAATGGTTAGTTCGGACAGTAAATTTCTTGCCTCTTGTCTTTTTTGTTTCTAATGCAAGAATTAAATTTATTCCAAGTTGATACTTGATGAGATTAACTTGGTCACAGATTTTTTTTAAATTCTTGATAATTATTTTGTATATAAAAATATTTTTTTACCATTGAAGAAGCCCAGGTACTCTTCTTACAGCTTTTAAAGAAACTAGCACTTAAAAATTCTTTTAGCATATATAAAAAGGGATGTAGTATGTAAACACATACCTAAGGGCATTGTGGAGTTCTGTGTCTCAGTTAGGGGACATAACATCCTAGAAATCTTAAAATATATAGACCAAAAGTTCTCTGTTTAAAATATGGTGAAGTCATTAAATTTATCTTTATTATTAATATAATTCCCACAATGAGTTTTGTACAAGTAAATATTTCAAATAAGTTTTATATTAATCTGTGTTTCATTTTACAATATAAATTGATGATTTTATTGCCATTAAGTTGTTTTCAAAAATAACTTTTATAAAAGATACAATTCTGTTAGTGTATTTTATTGATTTGGCTGTAGTTCATTAGCTTAAATCCATAAATCTATTAAGACAGTCTTATTCTTAACTAAATTATAGACACAAATATGCACTGAATTTAATTTTGATATGTAATTTGCAGAAAATTACATTTAAAAAGATTTGTAGTTATTAATATTACTTAAATTGTAAGATGAGTACCTTGCCATTTATAGGTTTTATGGATTATTGTTGAAAGATTAAACATTCTAACAAATGATATCTTTACACAAATGCAAAACATTACCCAAATTTCATATTTTTAGATTTTTTCAACAATACCCTCTACTTTAAAATTTACCTTACCATTTTATTTCTTTTTTTTCTTAAGCTGTTCTTTATTTAAATAGGATAAATATTATCACTCATTGGATATGGAATTACCATCCTTAGGTAGGTATTTGTCATTCAGGTGTTAATATTTTTTAATTAAAAGTGGGGAAGGGAAAAATTTATATCTAAGAAATAACATGTGGTAAACAAATATTTATTTTATGAATTAATCAACTTTAAATAATACTGTTTACTAGCTTAACAGAATACTGCTAATTTTTTATTTTTCTGGAAATATTTCAGTATGTACTATTTCTCTTTGTAAGATGAATATATTTTGCATATTAAAGATTGAAGAGAAATTTTACAATTGCATTAATGGAGTAGAACAGAAAAATTCCCAATTATTATTCCAATTCTCAATTATTTATTGATTATTTTCTGTTTTATTTTCCAATGTCTAATACAGCAGCAAACTTTTTGGAAAAGTTTTATTTTTAATATACTAAATGAAGATATTAAAGTGTGATTTCATTGCAAATTCAGCTGGTTTATGATTTTTTTTTACTGACAGAAAACAAAATTATTCATTGAATATCAATGTTTTATTTTCATTTCATTCAATTCCAGAGTTTAATATTGAATAGTCAAGACTTCCAGTGACCTTATGAATACTATTGGTCAAACAGACCTATACTGAACAACTTTGTTTATATGATCCACTATACATGTAAAATATCAATAAAAAAAAGTTATCTCAATAGAAAATGAGACAAGAGCCTCAAAATAACATAGTCCAAATTCTTCTTTAAATAAGACATGAAATTTATAGTTTGTATAATTGGCCCTCCCAGAAGTGATGTTCATTGTTACTTGATTGATATGAAGAATTTACAATGGCTATATTATAAAATACAAATATTTAACGATTTCTGGTACCAAAGATATGGATTTATATATATATATATATATATATATATATATATATATATATATAAAGATAAAAAAACAAATAGGAAACGTTTATAAATCTAACATTTTTGTCACTTTATTAAAGCTTCTTCAGAGTTTGAAAGAAAAGAAAAAATACAGAACTATGGTATTAGGGGAGACATCACATTATCTGAAAACCTGTGAAAACAAGAGATTTGTGTTTGGATAAACAGTCTTTCATATTCCACAGGAATAATGCTGGACATAACTTTGATTTCACTAATGCCACCCTAATTAAAAAAGAACATAATTCTTTAAGGAGAAAATACATTGAAAACTTAATAATAACAAACGCCTAAAACATTACATCGCCATCTTTCTTTGAATCCATTCATAAAGAATTTAACTTGTATCTAATACAAGGAATACATTCTTAAAGATGTGAGCCATAAAATTAGAACCCTGGAACTCCCCACTGTGGAAGTTGACTGCACAAAGGTGAAGATAAAAAACCCCAACTAGACAGACATATGCACACAATTACAATTACATATTACTGTTGCCCACTAAAACATGCAAGGATCTTCACAAACCTACATACACATAGAAATATCCACAGTTTTAATACATGTAACACATGTCTGACCAATGAGAACTGATCCAAACATAATTGAAAATACAAGTGTTTTCTGTCTTTTTACCTGTTTTCTCTCAATCTCTGACGAAGCTTTAATAAAAGTGAAACACATTAGATTGATATATGTTTTCTATTTGTTCTTATCATTTTCTTAGATTCCAATCCATATTTGATATACACTTGATCTCCAACTCATCTGTGTGTGTGTTTATATATATATATATATATAAAATAGGTTAGTTAACAAAACAAGGACAAATGAATGGGTACCAATATAATCAGTATGAGAAACATTTATTAAATATTAATTATTAACCATATGACAGAAATGAAGCACAGAAAGAAAGGTTTTAAGTTTGAAATTTTCAGTGGATATAATATTGTTAGCAAAAATCCGATCTCTGATTCCTCAATGTGCAAAACTTTTTATGAAAATGAATTTAAATTTAAAATTTTAATCAGTGTGAAAGCATTAGGCAGGTCTATTATTAATGGAGGAGTAAGATTGTAAACATAGATGAAGAGAGTCATAGGTTGAAGGTGGAGAAAGACAGGATGTGGTTAGAATAATGTAAGGAGGAAAAATGAAATAAATAGTAATAAAATATTATTAAATGAAAAGAAAAGGAACAATAGATAAAAATTTGGAAATCTATTAACAAAATATGGGGGGGTTAGAAAAATAAAATAAAAAAATAAAGGAAAACAGGAAAAAAAATACATAGATAAATGCATAATCTCATAAGTGCACATAACAGTTTTAAATATACACAAGCTATCACACAAACATGAATTTCAATACACATAAAGATATAAATACATATACAAGATTAATATGTATCTACACTAACCTTCCCTACTCCTTATATAAGTTTATATAAAAATTTATCATAGAATCTTCCAAAGATGGTATAAAAGAGAGTGACTGGAATGTAGCCCTCAGTGTACAGAGCAATACTTCCATTAATGAATAGTGCATCATGAGGGAAATCATAGGTGGTAGAAAATAAAAATATAGTAGGTAGGTGATGGCTGTTAAAATTTTAAGTTGAAATGTTGGTGGAGGGCTTACACATCTGAGAAGTGGTGTTTTCTTGTGGAAATTATACTCTCCAAGTAAAGTCAAATCTCTTTTTAGTCCCTCTATGTGGGAATTTACATTTAGGATATACTTCAACTCCAGCTACCAAACCAAGATGCTAAAAGCACAGATCCAACATCATCAATGCTATGACCAGGTTGGTTGAAGTGTACAGAGACCAGGAAATTGTTGTTGTTGTCCCTGATGTTTTTCTTGTGATATTGAAACAAAACTCTGTTCTGGTTTATCCCACATAATTGCATTTGTGACAGAAAAGTAAATATACAAATTGGAACTGTCACAGCTTAGAGCAAGTGGTCTGAATACCATGTGAAGTACTTTAGCTGTCTGTAAATGTTGGAGTGATGATGTTTTTAAAGACCAGGCACTGGGGTTTGTTGCAGATGACATTCCCCCTGGTGAGGTGATGAATTGCTGATTTTTGATGATGTTAAAAGTCTGAAGAGGTTGGGGTGCTGTCACCTTGTATGTTTTTTTATCACTAAATAATTTACTAATAGTATTGTCTATTTTTGGAAAATATTTTTTAATATTATAATTAAAATAAAAGAAATAAAATGCTGGAATTTTTCTTTTTTAGTTACATAGATGAGGAGGGTTTCTGTTATGTTTGGAAACTTTGGTGATAGATTTTTTTGATTATTTTGGGTGGATAATTCCTATTAAGAAAGTGATTGCAAAATTGTCTTATGTGTATGTTGTAATCTTTAATGAGAACAGATGTGTTTAATGTGTAAGCATTGGCTGTGATTATAGATTTTTTTTAGGTTGGTGGGTGGCAACTTTTGAAATGATGGTAGCAAATGACCATCAGTAGGCTTGGTGTATAGTGTAGTGAGATGGGGTTGTTATTGAGATGTGTTATTTTTGTAGAGAAATGGAATGGAAGTGGTAGAATATTCCATATTAAATTTGATGGTGTGATTCAAATTATTAAGGTGTCTAAGAGATTGTTCTCTCTGTTTATCCATATGAAGATGTCATCTATGTACCTGTGGTAGTGTAGGGTAGGGGTGACAGGTAGTATTTCCTAAACATATCTTGTTCAAGGGCATCCATGAAAAAATTGAAGAAAACCATGCTCATTGAACTGGAATTTGTTGTGTGAGTATAAAATATATAATATTCGAAAAGAAGGAAATTACTGGAAAGTAATTGAAACTCACCTGAA